CTGCGACTTTTCTTGACACTCGTACAAATGCTATATATGTTTTTGATAGTATGGGCCCATACTACCTTCCGCACCTTTCCGTATTCATCTCAAAAATCATTCCAAAATTCTAAGTCACTAAAATCGACCACTACTAAGCTTACACACACACCTATACACTCCAAAATCCATCTGCTAACTTCCTAGTTTCTCATTCTAGGATTCATACAACCACGCTCCCGTACTACTTGAAGTTTTTACCACTAACAAGTCAAATACATATAGGTGGGTTATCAGCAACCCTAAGCCATTAGCGATTCACATACATCACATGATATAATTAATATAGTGACGATACTCAAACCTCACAGACAAAGTAGAAAACCCTTACAGATCGCAACACATGAAGCCAGGTACAACAACCACCTGAACATGTAATCAAAGGTCAAATCCCAGCATATGACCTAAAACTCTAAAGATTAGCCTAAAGTTAAACTTAGTCAAAAAGTCAATGGTTGAAGTCAACCATCAAGCCATCGCATCGTGGCCAACCCATGATCATTCCATGGTAACGAGAGGACATAATGGTCGTAGGAGTCAGCAACCCACCACGTCGTGGCAAGGTCTCTTTCTCACTATGGCGACGTCCAAACAACTTAATCCATTAAGCTCTTAACCCTTATTTCAAGAGCTCCAAAGCTCAGATCCGGATCGATTTAGGGAATGCATGGATAAAGTTTCCAACTTTATCCATTCTCTAACCTATAGAAGCCTAGATATCAAACCCTAACACTTAAAGGGGCCAAAATAACCTAAGAGGTCGTGAGTTTTTTTAGCAACTATCCAACTTTATGGGACCCTAAGGTCCAAATACTACCTCAATCACTAACTAAGGCCTTGGAGTTGCTTCAACTCCAATGATCCTTTTTTAAAGACCATAAATGAACTCTTAAGCATGAAAAACAACTCAATAAGGAGAAGGCATGAACTTTATACCTTCTAAAGTCTGGAAATGATGAAGGATCAGTCCTCAGTCAACAACAACTCTAGCAACAAGTTTAGAAAAGCATTTTCTTCCTCTAAGATCCTTCAAGAGCTTGAAATTGTTAATATACACCCAAATTATAACACCCGGTCCTTATAGGTAAATTTCTTTCCTTGTTTTAAAGCTTTAAGTTTTATGGAGTTTGGTCCTACGTGGGGCGTAGGGTAATCTCGTATGCAGCGAATAGGATGGAATCTTGAAGCGGGGATTAAATGATCTACGCAGGGTGTAGATTAAACTACGCAACGCGTAACTGCCCAGAACCAAAACCTTAATCTTGGGGTTTGGAGCCCTATTTAAAGGCTCTGACTCCCTTGAGGCCTTTCCATCCTCAGCCTCCATCCTCCCAAACGACTCCTTTGAAACCTTAATCCCCTTTTTGAGATTTTTGAGCCTTGAATGTGTTTTGTGTTCACTTGTGAAGGAAGAAGAAGATTGTAGAACCACTTGGGAGCTCAAATCAGTACAGATCCAAAAGATTCATCCACTCAACCATCTCTAGAAGGTATAACGTCCCCACTTTGATGTATTTTTATAATAAATATAGTTATGCTTAAGATTTCATGTTTCTTGTCCCCATAACCATGGTGAATATGAGTAAGAGATACTCCAGACCATTGGAGTGTCATTCCAGACATTTTTAAGGATTATTAAGTCATAAAAATGAGAGATTGGCCACTCTCATCCATCCATGCATGAATAATAGAGCATTGAGTGACTTTTTGGACTTAGGTTAGGATTTTGTGCCCTTGGTATGCATGTAAATGGATAAATTATGAGACTTTATCCATTAATACGATTGTAAGATAGAGATCTGGAAGTTGGAAGAGATATTGGACTGAATTAAGGACTTAATGAATAAGTTAGGTTTTTAAGGGTTTACGCAGGGCGTAAATCCCCTTACACGGGGCGTAGCGCCATTTCCCCTGTTTTTCCACCTTAGACCGGCTGGAAGTTAAAATTTGACTTTTTGACTGTTAACTATTAACTTTAACCAAATTTGACTTTAGGTCAAACTGGGTACTTTGAGCTGTAGATTGAGATTTGGTCCATGTTTATTGTATAGGTGACATGTAGAGTCGGTATTTGGATCAGTGATCAGTTCAACTATCTTCTAGACTGAGAGGTGAGTTTTCCTCACTGTACTCATGCGTCGAAGGCACCAATGTCGGCCCACTAGATTGTATTATGTATCCGTGTGTATAGGATGTTGCTATGCTATAGAGATCTGGCATATTGGTATATCTATATGATTAAATGTATTCGTTGGTTATTGTTTATCTATTGCATGTGTCGACATAGTGCAAGTGGGTTGAGGTGGTACTGCTTTGTGTTGTGACCTAACAAACTCGGGAGCAATTTAGCCATAAGTTGAGGGTCGGGAGGGCAATCTAGTCTTATGTTGTGGGCTCTGGAGTAAACCAGTCATAAGTTGTGGACCGGGAGCAGGCAATCCATTCTCATGATGTGGACTCAAGGGCAATCCAGTCTGATGTTGTGGGCCCAGTTTGCATGCATTGTATATTTGTTTTTATGTGGGGTACTTTGGGGGAACTCACTAAGCTTTGTCTTACAGTTTTTAGTTTCATGGTTTCAGGTACATCAGATGATCAGGGCAAGGCGAAGGCATGATCGTACACATCCTCCTGCTAATATATGTTTTGAGAGATTTTGATACTCTGATTTTATGGATATATCTTGAAAACAATGGTTGATTATATTTTGGTTTGTGGAAATGTTTTACAAGAATGAAAATTTTTATCATGATTTTTGGGATGTTACACAAATAAACCAAGAACAGACATACACACTAGGGTTTCTCTCGGGTGAATGGAGGTTGATAATGAGAGCAAATCCTAGTCATAATTTTACTTAAATAGGGCCCAAGGTCCAAGACATAGGGGTTTGAACTCAATGGACACCGCATCATGCGGTATGGTGCACACCTTACCGCGTTGTGGTGTTGGGAAATCCTCAAAAACTCAACTTGCAAAATAAAATATGTGTATTTGCGGATGTTACAATTCTCTCATCCACAACTCCACCAAGACTACCAGAGCTCGTTGCCGTCGGACCGTCAGACCGTTGTCGGATCGACCGGAACAACCATACCATTTTTCGGAGCGTAGTCTCTCCATTCTCTATGGATCTACTTGCACCTCCTTGCTTCACCTCTACTCGTATACTCTTCGTAAACAACCTCTCTCCGCCTTTCCTCTTCCCGAACTCCCTCTCTCCGCTAGATTTGTAGCAAAAGTCACCAAATCTGAAGCAAAGAGTACCAAATCTGAAGCAAAAAGCACCATCTGAAGCAAAAAGTCATCGGGTCGATTAAATGCTTCTGAAAGGTTTCTTATATAAATCTATTTCGTTTTTTCTAAATACTTCTAATAATTAGATTCTACTTTGTGTTATTGGTTGCACTCCATCTCTTTGATTAAATGATTATAAAGGTTTTCCCTATTGTGTTTAAGGTTTTTCTAGGTGAAGAACATGATAATCGGGTTTAATCACATGTGGTTAAATGCATATAATCACATGTGAGTATGTGATTATATACACGAGACCAACTAGTGAATCGAAAATGCAAAAACGAATATTGTCCACATAAATCACATGTGATTAAGTACACAAGAACAACTATTGAATTGTGAACGCGAAAACAAATCATGTCCATATAAATCAGATATGACTAAATAATTTGCATGTGATTAATTACAATAGAACAACTATTGAATCGAAAACGCGAAAATGAATCTTGTGAACATAAAATCGTTTTTTTTTATTTGTAAAGATAATAATTGTTATTGTAATGCACTCTTTGTGAAGAAACTTAAGAAGCTAAAATCATTTTTAATCTTTGGTAAAACATGGTTAAGATATGCATGCACATAATTTGTTAAATTTCGTGATAAATAACTAAAAATAAATGTCATCATAGAATATTTGCTGACATTTTTTTTATATTAGTGGTCCAAAAATTCAAGCATCAACGACTAACGGAGGAAATTATATGGAACCTTACCATACGTCGTGTTTCCATGATAGTTCATGTCTCGCACATTTTTGACTTGCATACTATGTAAAATTTAGTCTTCAACGTAACTATTTAAAATTTTACATTTGTTTTTTTAAGGGTGAACAAGTTTTTAACCATTATAATTGCAATTTTGTATAACAATATTAAAAGTTAAGGCAACGTTGACTGATTTTAGTCTTTCAAACATCTCACATTGTTATAAAAAAAAATATACGAATTTGAATCATTTGTTTTTCCCAAAAGGTTAAATTGGTACAATTTAGAAAATTAGTTAAAAACGAAATTGTCCAAGAACCGTCATGTATTATTATTTTCAGATTATAATATTTGTAATCATATTTAGTATTTTTAAATAGTTATAAAGTTACAAAAAGAATAAAAAAAAACGTTGATATTCACACCTATATACATCAAAAGATTCATATAATTGGTAGCACATCTTCATCGTAAATAATAACTTTTATACTTGGTAATGGTTGTTGTGGATTGTAAAGTTGGTTAATTACAATTTTGACCCTTGAAATGATGCCTTCCAATAAAAATTTTCAAAGATCCATTTTGTACATCACTTGTTTGTTTTATATGTGGCGCCCATTTCAATAATTCCATTAGATAACCAAATCCAACATAAAATAGTAAAATTGTAGACAAAGTCCACCACACATAATGAGATATATTCCTCATATGGACAATAGATTCAATGAAACAAAAGGAAAAAGTCACTAATATCAATGATTGAAGAGCCATTATACTAACATTTTTCTTGGAAGTTTCACCAAACCCAAATCATCTAACAACCCACCCACCACTCAATAACATCAAAATCAACAATACTCAAATCCTATAGAGACAAGATAAGATAACAGAGGTAAGAATAAGATGTAGATGATCATGATTTATAAAACCCATTCTAGGCAACAAGATTTATAAAAGATACTTAAATCTACACTAGATATGATCAGTAAAGATCAAATATTGAGTTTTAGGTGGTATTTGTACACACCACTAAACCAAATCTTTGATACTCCATTTACAAAGAACACCCATATCAAAATTTAGAAACATTTCAACAAAAATCTTTAATCTATAATAATTCTTCCAATCTTTCTGTCTTTATTTTGGTTTCTTCTTCAACTTCTGTGGTGGGAATTGGGTCCATCTTTTCAGTATCGTTTATCTCAACAACTTCATTGGTTGAACTATTCGTTATGTCATCTTCTTTTGTAGGTTTTGTTTTCAATGAGGAGCTGTTATTTTAAGATATTTATTACTATCATTCACCCAAAAAAAAAAAAATCATGTATATATTATTTGTCAAGTGTAAAAAACTAAAAAAAAAGAAACCTTTTTGGTGAATTCGTGTTGTCTTCTTGCATTGGTGAGAATTCTAGCTTTCTTTTCCCCTTTTGCTTTAGACGCCTGTACATATTTGATGAATTTATATAAAAATAGATAAATAAAAAGAGGATGAATTATGAAATAAATAAGGGTATGAAATATAAACTTACTTGGTGGATGAAGTTGTCACAGGGGTTGGTAAATCAGAAGATTTCTCCTGTTGATAATATGATATTATATAATTTTATTTATATACCAGTAAAATAAAGAAAGTAAAATATATTTTTTTTTTAAAAGATAGAATTAAGAAAGTAAAATACTTTATGAGGTGATGACTTATCAAGTATAATCCACTTTTCAACACGCAAATCCAGCACTTCTTCATCACCATCAGCATATAACACCTGCATTCAGAAATTCAAATTCTATAAAAAATTATTGAAAATTATATAATAATTTGAATTTGTTTATAAAAAAAATGCAATAATGTATTCCCACCTTGTGCTTCTTGTCTACAGGATTATAAGATGAAACAGCACCTTCGTAATACCTGTTCAAAAATAAATTTTATCTTTGAAGAAAAAATAAGATTTTACAATTGTTAAAAAGTTTAAATTTATTAAAAAAGAAAAAAAGATTTACATTTTGTCCAATGGCCACCAAACCTTTATCCTATGTCCCACCAATTGTTTCCCATTTCCAAGACCCTAACAAATAAATTTAACAGCATTATGAATTTTTAAACATAAACATTTAAAAAAAAATTAAATGATTTGATTAATAGATTAATACCTTGTATATGATATCATCCTCCTTTTTTATGACTGAATTGTTTGAAGTCAACGATTTTTTCATGCCTTGAGATTTTTCTTTCAGTTTTGCAGAATTTGAAGCTTTATCCTGAAACCTAGTTTTCCTCAAATCTTCCTTTGAATCTTGAACCAATTTAGGTTTAGAATCTTGACTTGAGTTGACTTTCTTGTTTTTTGGTCTCCCTTTTGATGAATGGGTTTCATGAAGATTTTGAGAAGCTTCCAAATCTTTACCCTTTATCTGATTTTTATGATAATCCTCTATTTTCTTTGAAACTTTTTGTGAATCAATATGTTTTTGCTTCTTGGATTGAGAATTCACGAGGGTATTCGCGTCCCTTTTGTGAATATTATTACTCTTTGTTGGTTTCTTTTCCTGCAATTTGGCATAAATATAAAAAGTTTTAAAAAAAATAATAATAAATGTTGGTGGATATGAATGTTTAAAAATATATATATACATACACACCATAAGTTCATTTTGACAAAGGGTAGAGACTATTTCAGCATAATCATCAGAATCTGCCTCTATGAGTTCTACTAAAGTTGAAGAATAGGGTTTGAGTGTATCATGACAGTTTCTCAACACCTTTTCTGCTAATTTCCAAGGGGCAGGGGAAACATTCTGTAAAAAAGAATAATATTTTTTTTCAGGGAATATGAAATTTAACAATTATTTAAAAAGATTAAAGATAAATTGTGTGTACCTGGTTTTCTTTTCTGACATGAGAAATGAGAAGAGAAAGAAGCTGTGAAGCAATTTCATCACTTTCTTCAAGGACCATAGTCATTATACTTTCCATGTCTGAAAATACAGGCTGTGGGTGATTTGTCCTAGATTTCATCAAGAAAAAAAAAGTCAACTTTAATATTTCACAATGGACAAATTACAGAAGAAAAGAATATAGATTTTAAAAAATTTTGCAGTTTAACCACTTATACTTTACTTTTTCCAATCAAACGATAATATTTTCAGACATTTTTTTCAATTATTGACTTATGGAAACTTATATAACATATCAAAAAGGTTAAATTAGAAAAATCGGGAAAATGTCTGAAAATTTTATGGTTTGTTCTTTAAAAAAACCATTTATGAGGTATCCGCAAAAAGGGTTTAGTTTTTAACTATATTAAGCCAAAGAAGATCTCCACGTGCAAGAAGTTTATTTCTTTACATGGGTGTTCATAATATGCAATAAATGAAGATGGTAGAATTAACTATGTGATCAAACTAAACCATAGAGGGGCGAAAAGGGAATAAAGATACGCGATAATATAATGAGGAATAGAAGCTCTCACCTAATTCTACTTAAAAACTGCTCAAACATCTCAAGGATCAAAGCATCACACTCAAGGTCCAACATCAACAAGCATGATTTCACTTTAGCAACAGATTGAAGAATGTGAATGGCTTTATAATAATTGCGACCCGTAACATTTGAAAGTTCCCCAAAAGCCATCACATTGAGCTGGAAGATATCCTGTGTAACAAATAGTTATTTTTTTTTCTTAAAAAGGAGATATACAAAATATTTAGATATATGGAATTGTTAAAGGATTTGATTCTTGTAGTACCTTCATAATTTCATCCTTATAAGGTGGTTCTGGTGCAGTTATTCTTGCTACTTCACAAAGACATGATGCTACTGAAACTTTAACATCCACATCTGAATGCTTTAACAGTTCATTGGAAATTAATGCCCCCATTGAAGGCACAAGTGCACCTTGCATTTTGAGAGATGGTGCTTGACTCACAAATGTCAAAAGTTGCTCGGTTTTCTTAAAGAAAGAAGTTGAAAAATAGCAAGTGTTATAAGTATATCATAGCACAACAAAGAGGGTAAAGTATAGAAATGCACAAATTCTGAAAAAGGAACCCTAATTTGAAACCATCTGTTATCTGATTCGATATACATATATACATAATCGTTAACACAGGGGGAATCTAACTAGGTCTTACACATACATTGATCCAATGTCCTCGTAAAACTTTGAGCATGGCAAATTTGGACTGTGATCGTAAAGGCTAAGGAATATTTACGCGAAATAGTAGAGTGAAACGTATACATTGACGATGAAAAAGGTTAACAATCGCTTACATCGAGAATGTCTAGAAGCTCACTGGTGGAAGAAGGGTGCAATGCAAGCTGTTCACCAGTTTCTCTAAGCTGTTGCTCCAGTTCGCTAACTGGACAGATATAGTCCATTTTCCGAACGGCGGACTAAGCAATTTCCCTCTAATCGCACTCAAACACAAACCCTTAGAGGCTCAGAAAGCCAAAATGTTGATTTGATTTTACGCAAATTGGCATATGCCTGTGTTTACAAAGGCAAAGGGTTTCTCCATTCGATTCAATCCGCTTCGTGAAATCTGTGGCGAAAGGTATAGAAACCCTATATCTGAATTTCGAACACGTACATACGGAAAACCTATCGATGCTTCGAGAATTTGGAGAGTGAGTGTGAAGGCTGCGTGAGAGGCGTCTGGGGTTTTGATTGCGGTTTCCAGGTGTCGGAGCTTTGATGTTATTATCCGAGGAAATTTACATTTGGGATTCTCTCAAACTTTTGTGTGTTTTTTTTCCATTTTCATTTACACATTTTTTAAGTTTAATATTATAATTATAATCATTTCTTTTGAAGTTTTTTAAAACTTTATAAATTTACACGTTGATTTTGATTTATTTGTATCATTTTGTGAACCATCATTTTTAGGTTTATTTACGAGTTTATCTAATTGTTGCATCACTCATTAGATGAGGTCAAGGTTTCCCAAAATATGTTTTTGTTTATGCTTATGTCATTTGCTCTATTTAGATATTTTGTTCCATCCCGACATGATTGAATCGGGTAAAGAATGTATTTTTAATGATTTATTTAACAAAGTCATTTTTTTAATTTTTTAGTATAAAAACATTTATATAACAAAAAGTCATTTATTATTAGAGTATATGAATCAAACTTGCTCTTTATTAAAGAATATTAATGCTTATATGGAAATTTTGTATTCTGATTTGACATTATTTTGTTAGCAATAGCATACCAATGGCATGGTGTCATGATTCGAAACTTCAGTTTTACACGCTTGTACATGCATGCATTAAATAGTTTTACACGCTTGTACATGGATATATTAAATACGTTGACATTAACTTTTGTAATGAGAGTCTAATGGTTAAGGTGTTGACATTAACCTTTGTAATGAGAGTCTAATGGTTAAGGTGTTGACATTAACCTTTGTAATGAGAGTCTAATGGTTAAGGTGTAGAACTTTACTAAGGATGTTCAAGGTCCAAACATTGCACTTTGCAACGTGATGGCCCTGGAGTGGAACGTCCAGAGATACAATTTACCCTTTTTTTTCTTTTTACTCTACATGGTTGTATTATCAAGCCTACATTAGAAGGAGCGTAAAGTTAATTATCATTAAATGTTGCTTGTATGTTTATGTTTTTGGAATATTTGAAAAGCTAAGTGTAACGGTCATGAGTGCACATTAAGAGAACAAATGGCACGCAAACACACACAAAAAGGAAAACGAATAAATAAATATACTAGTCATTAAAAGAAAAACAAGATAAGCGGCTAGATAGAGAGTTTTTAACGGTCTGACATGACAAGCATTAATGGTCGTCTTCATACTTAACCTCTAACAGTCAACATAGAAGCATTAGCTCATTCCACGTGCGATCAACATGGAAGCATTACCTCCTTCCACGTGCGATTTCATGTAGAAAGGGTATCATCACGCCATACCCGAACACGCCCTATTGCAACTATGAATATATGATACATTACATCCAAATAGTATTATGTTCTTAAAGCCTAAGGTCTTTGAGATTTGCGATTATATTCCCCATTATCATACATGTATGAAGTGGATTGTTAGATTGTATATTTAGGAGTCTATATAATGAAAATATGAGGTTCCACCCTCTTTAAGACTCCCATGGATCCTGTAACGTCCCCAAAAATACCAATGAAAATTTTCATTTTTACACCATCAAATCCATACAAACATTTGTTCCAAAACCAATCAGAGTAAAATGTATCTCTCAAACATCAGAGTAAAACAATAACAATATGTGCAGAAAAGCCATCAGGGGATATTGTGCAGTCAAGCCGAGTCATTCCCTTTGGAACTGGAAGTACATGAAAACATTTTAAACAAAAACCGTAAGCACAAAGCTTAATGAGTTTCCCAAAATACCACATAACATACCTAAGATAGTGCATGTTATAGGCCAAGTCATAGTTTTATAGTCACTTCCTGTCATGGGACAAATCATGGTCTTTCCTTGCAATGTCGAGGGCCAAATCTCGAACTTACAAACAAGTGTCAAGGGTCACACCCTAGTCTTCCATGTAAGTATCAAAAAGACAACAAGCATCCTACATACAAATATCAAGGGTAGATCATGGACGTACATATAATTGTCAGGGGCCAGATCCTGGTCTTTCATACAATTGTCAGGAGCTAAATCCTCATCTTTCATACATATGGCAAGGGTCACACTCTGGTCTTACATGCAATTATCACAAAGACAATTAGTATCCTACATAATATAGTAAGAAAACTCACTTTGCCGACGTAGTCAATAGCTAACAACTCTCACGGTTAACAAATGGGTGTTATACACCTCATAATAAACCATACAAGGTAAACCCTTAGTCTACCTTCTAAAACTAGAAATTTGACCAGATTTCAACCCATACCAAAAAGTCAACGGTCAAGGTCAAAGTCAATAGTCAACATCACCATTAGCTGATACTTACATCGTGACCAACCCATGGTCACGTCGTGGCTAACAAACTCAGTCCTGATCCAAAACTCCAGTAACAACTCAGCCGCGATCAAAACCATTGGCATATCGTGATGTCATGCCACCACGTCGTGACATAATCCGTCCAAAACAATCGATGAGCCTCATCGTTATGTTGTAGCCTCCATATGGTCGTGTCGTGACTACTACATTTGGGGAAAATTAATGCATTCAACCCTTAATCATTTAAAGCCATCCATTCTAACTTTCCATATGGCATTCTTACTCCCAAAACACTCTAAAAATCGATGCTTTATAGACATGCATGTCTTGAGCTCATGTTATGTCAAAATAATGAATAATGGAACCACAATCACATGCATGGATTCAAAACTTAGTCAAACTTCAGATCCAACATATATAACCTTCAAGGGTCCTCAAGGAACCATAAAGTTGCCAACTTTATGGAATCCTTCCATCCAAACTTCCACGGCATGAAGAAAATAGGACAAGGAGCCGAGATCTAGAAGCATACAACATAAAGCTTGGATCTTGAACACTTATAATGGTCCAGAAATAGCTCAAATGAATTCTCTAAGCTTTCCAAGAGGTTCTCTATACCACAAGGGCCTTCTTCTTCCTTCAAAATGCACCAAATCACCAAAGGTAAGCTCAAAATTGGAGAAGAAGGTATTGGGGTTTGCTCAAAGGTTCTTGAGGGTGATGGAGGCTGGAATTGATGCCATAAATATGAGGTTGGAGGTTTAAATACAGGGGAAACCTTAAAAAATCATGGGCCTGGGTCGCAGCTATCATCACGTCGTGACCATAATCTTGTTACGTCGTGACAACCATCTGAATACGCATTCACATATTTGGTATGTCACGTCGTGACAGCCTTCTTGTCACGTCGTGACATATGGTTTTCCTCAAAAATCATGTCTTTGACTCATTTATGCCATACACTGATCCATTCTAGGAGATGGAGGTTACAGATCCTTTTATCACTTATATTTCTAGTTGGATGTCATGACAATACAACAAATGTATACAATGAATGTTGTGCATAACATAATATTGTTATTAAAAACTGACAAATATATATGTTATTAAAAATAACTATTTTATTAACTTTGAATTAATGATCTTTACACTCATTTATAATTAAAAGTGTTTTAAATATATGATAAGATCAATACATATTAAAATCACATTATATCTATTGTCTTCACGAGATACAAATGAAAATTAAAAAAAAAAATCGATTCAGTTATTTTTAACTACTTATGGCTAATCAATTTAGATTAAAATTCTTTTATGAAAATAACATTTCAATGATATTTATTTCTAAGTTGCATGTCAATTTGACATTTTGATTTAGATTTATATTTAATATTATGCTTAAACTTTTTATTATTTTTAAATAATTAAAAAAATATTACTATAAAAAATAGTTTTTGATCAAATTTTTGTTAAGGATTTAGGTTTATATTTAACATTATAATTAAAAAATTTAACTATATTAAAATATAGTATTTGCCCATTGTTTATGGAAATGAAACTTCCCTAACGATGGTTCTGGGTCCGTTTTTGTCCATTTATTTCCAAGTTTATTTGGCATTTTGATTTATATTTTGAATGTAACATCGTATTCAAATTTACAAATTAAAGGTATTAGATTAATAATTATAAAGTAGGTATTTCAAATGAGTAAATTAAGTATATTTAATTAATGTTTTGAATTTAACTACCATATTTTAATTAACAAATTAAGTATATTAGTTTGAAAATGAAAATTTAATACTGGAATTAGAATAGTAAATGATTTAATGTATTAATCAAAAAATAAGTTGAAAAATTATACGGATTTCAAATAGTTAAAATAAAATAGTGTTATAGATTGATTAATTGTTTTTATCCTTTTAATAAGTATAGATTAAATGTAATTAATAGCCAACAAATGACGATCTTCTTTTCAATCAACTTATTGAATGACATTGTAGCAAGTCTTTATATACTTCCTACTTCCAAGCAAGAGGGTTACCAGTCATTTGAAAAAAGTTTTGGTTAACTCGAGAAGACGTACGATAGTGTTTCCTCAATCGGATGATAGAGATTGTCTTCGTCAAGTGGCTACATAATGGAGAAATAAAGGTGGGTGTTTAAAAATCTTATACTAGGAACCAAACCAAAAATAAATAAATGGCAAAAAAGAAAATAAGCACCATAAATATCGTACCGAAAAATAAGAAAGTAAGACATATTACTCGACAATCTCTCAAAATAATTTCATAATAAACTAATGAAAAATAAGAAAGTAAGACATACTACTCCACAACCAAATACTGAAAACTATGACATTTCTCCCTCAATCTCCAGATCTCTCAAAATAATTTCATAATAAACTAATAAAAATAAAACATTGAAATATCAAAAAGCATCATCCAAAATGACAACACAACACTATTTTTTTTATAAAATATTGGAAGGAAAAACAATAATAAGAATTTTCGGCCTCCAACCACCAATAACAACACATGCATAATGAAACAGCAGAAACGAGAAAACCAGACTACTCAATAATAAACTTTAAATAGGTAATCCAAATTTTCCTACAAGAAAAGGAAAAAAATTCTAATAAATAAAAAAACATATAAAACGACAACACAAATCAAGTTTTTGATCCATTATTACACATCTAGTTTTTGCACTTGAAACTGTTATCAAGCTGACACAAAGAACTTTGAAATGAATGCATTTAATCAAAGAACAGAATCAGTAAAAGAGAT